TCATCTATACCGAAAGATTCCCAAAGTCTCAATAAAATTATACGTGCACCCTCGTCTTATGCAAATTTATTTTTTCTTAATTGTTTTAAAACTAAAATTTTCATTCATTCTTCTCTTTTCGACATACTCAGTGTGCACAACTTTTCTACCAAATTATTGATTAATTTTCCATAGCTTTGCATAGTAACGTAATTAACATTTTCATTACTCTGTTATTTCAACCATTGCAACTCCACTTGTTGCCCATAAATTTGAGCATATACCATATATGTTATTTGAAGAAATAATTAAATTGAGTAGTAAAAGATGTAAAATTTACGTGGGAAGTCGACGATTTGCACTTTTCATTAAATTTTAACTAATTATTGGAATAATAAAACCAAGAGTTTTATTTTATTATACTATGCATTAGTATTGGAAGTTATTTAAGTCGTGGATTGTAAATACCTTTCTTTTTCTTGGGAAGAAGACAGTGAAAATATCTTTCTTGATTTTTGTCTCACATTAAATTGAGTTTTGAAATAGTAATTTTTGAAAAATGTATAGTTTAAAAAGTAAAAAATAAATAAAATTAAACTTACGCGTAGAATATTTTATGGTTATAATGCATGTAATTTGATTTTTCTATCCTTTCTGCATTTTCCATTTCCAAAACCGACAGCATTATTGGAGTGCCAAAACGGACAGTATTTTATGGCCACATCAAATATAAATGCTTGTCATTTACTTCCATTAGTTGATTTGCACAGACAATATAGTTTGATGTGAGTTTATTTTTTGCTTCTGAAATTAAAGCACTTGCATCGAGCTAAAATTGCTGTTTTTTTTTTATTTTTTTTTCCTTCATCAATTTTTTATCTAAACCAGAACACTTACATGGCTTCTTTATCATCGATATGGCTAAANCATCAATTTTTTATCTAAAGCAGAACACATACGTGACTTCTTTATCATCGATATGGCTAAAGATGATATTGTTGTTGTAACAAATGGAATTGTTCGATAATGTCAATTTTATGGTACTAGTAAATACACATAAGTATATGGTCGACTAACGAGAATTAAACTCAGATAAACCCTGTAAATTCTAACGAGATCTTGCATTGGAAAATAATTTGATAGATGAAAAACTCATGTATGGTAAAAGAGTAAG